AGGCTTATGGAATTATCAGTGATCTTCTTATACCTCCACCTCCACTCTCTGTGGAAATCACTATTGACTTCTCCTGGTGATAACCTCCATATTCTAAAAGGGAAGTGATACTTATAACTCTTTTTTTGATTGAGTGTAGATGATGAGGATTTTCCTCACACTGCCCATTGCAGTTAAATCACTGTAGAGAGAGAGATCCTTGCTTGATTTCCTATAAACATTTACACCTTTGTTTCTTGTTTCATTTCCTACTGACAGTGTCTCCTGATTTTCTATTTTGAAAGATGAGAATATTCATCATTTTAAACGTAGCCTGTTTACATTTGAATTACGTTAGTCACTATCTGATTATTTTCTTCAAAGGAAAGAAGTTAACATTCAGATGTTTTAGATGGTATTCCCGAATAGAATAATGGTTCTTTTGAAAACTTCATCACAACGAATTCAATGTTCATTATATGAACATTGTAAAACAATCTCAGAAGGTTGTCCTTGGCTTTTGTTAAGTGATTCTTTAGTTTGAACTTGCAAAACTGCAGTCTTTGCTCTTATCTTCAATTTACCTGCAAGTCTACAACTTTTTTTTAATCTCAAATACATATTGCAAGGGAAAGCAAGTAATAGCAAAATAAGGCTCTTTTACTAAGCACTGTTGACAGTATCAAGAATTGTGAAGGGTCAGAGGTTTCACTCTACTTGCCAGCTAACAAGTTAGCTTGCCACAGCTTCATGCAAACAGGCAGAAAACATGAGACATGTGGGTCAGAGACGAAGGACATTATTAGTCACAGCACAGTAAGCAACATGCCTTTGATGTTCTGATCCCTACTAGGGTCCCGGTGGGGGTACAGAGGGGCAGGTTCAGGTGGATACTGCAAACAGTAAGTTTGCGTGCATCACAGCTGAGGGACCTCATGCTTAGGAAACCCCAGCCTTTTATAAGGGTTGCAAGCAAACCTGCCTAACCTTTGTCTCAAAGGGAGACATTATTTTTATTGTACTAGACAGCAAACAAACATGCCCCTTGCCCAGGAGGAAAAAGCTCTCTCAATCTTCCAAGGTTTTTTATTTTTTTTTTTGCTATAGAAACATTCTTGAAAAGATAGTCCTGAACAAAAGCCAGCGCCACACATGCCTGAAGGAATTGCAGCTACTATGTATAAAATTACCTAAACCAAGGATGCTATTACCTTCCTCATTGGCTTTTGGTAGGATTAAATGATAATACATCAAAGTGCTTACTATTGTTAGGTGTTCAATCAATGCTGGCTACTCTTATACAATAGGACATAGTCAGATGAAAGAACTTTAATACTTGAGTTTCCCGCCTCCATCATAAAAATAATATATGCTTCTTTTTCTCCTTTTAAATAGACTGTATTTTTTAGAGTAGTTTTAAGTTCACAGCAAAATTGGGAGGAAGGTACAAAGATTTCCCTGATATTCCCTGTCGTCACACATACACAGTCTTTCTTCCACACTATCCACCTTCCCCAGCAGAGTGGTACATGTTACAACTGGTACACCTGACACTGACACATCATTATTGCCCAGAGTCCATGGTTCACGTCAAGGTTCACTCAGTGTTGTATATTCTACGGGTTTGGAGAAATGGATAAAATGACATCCACCATTTGCAGTATTACAGAGAAGAATTTCACTGCCCTAAAAGTAGTCTGTGCTTTGCTGATTCATTCCTCCCTCCCCACAACCGCTGGCAGCCTCTAATCTTTATACTGTCTTCATAGTTTTTCCCTGTCTGGTGTCATACAGTTGGAGTCTTATGGTATGGATGCTTCTTTTTAAAAAACATACAAATATTATTAAGATAAAGTCACCCACAACCTTCCTACAAAGTAGTACCTTTAACTTTTTGATTAATTTCCTAATAATATCTTTCTAGGCATCTATTTTTTTAAAAATTCCTTTTGTCCTTTAGAAAGTTTCATTTGTCACTAGTTTAATAACCTCCAGAAAAACTCTTTAAACTATGTAAGCCTGTTTAAGCTTTTTTTTTTTTTTTTTTTGTGAGATGGTCTCACTTTGTCATCCGGGCTGCAGCGCAGTGGCGCGATCTCAGCTCACTGCAGCCTCAACCTCCCAGGCTCAAGCAATCTCACCACCTCAGCCTCTGCAGTTAGCTGAAACTACAGGCATGAGCCACCACATCCAGCTAATTTTGTGTATTTTTTGTAGAGACCGTTCCTACAAAATTATGTTATTGCCCAGGCTGGTCTCGAACCTCTGGCCTCAAGTGATTCTCCTGCCTCGGCCTCCCAAAGTGCTGGGATTATAAGCATGAGCCACTGCGCCTGGCCTAACCATTCTTTATGTATCAGTCAGGATAGGGTAGTTTATGCTGTGTCACAATAAAAAGGCTTATTTCTTATTCACACTACATGTGCATCCTGCACTGTCATGGGGTTCTCATTACGGTCACTCAAGCACAACCACCATCATGTTGTTAGGTTTGGAAAAAAATGCTCAGAACTCATGCCCAGGACATCCCATGGCTGGACCAGATCACGAGAGGCCAAAAAGAACAATCCTACCATGTGCCAGGTAGGCAGAGCTGGAAATGTTTGGTGAACAGGATTCATGACAACCAGTTTACACTGTGGTTAGCAGAAATAAGAATCAACCTACCATTAGTCTTTTCTGCCCATTTAAATAAGTGAAATAATTTTAAGTTCCACGGATTAATCAAAGCAAATAAAGAGCATGAAACTACCAAAATCTTTATTTTATACCGTGGTTAACATTTTCTTCTTTGTCTATTGTGCTAAAAATACGAAGCACTTGAGTGTTTATCCGAATCCTCTGGAGTATTAATCAAGAAATTTTAATATTGCTAATATCAAAATCACTTTCTTTTTCTAAGTGGGGCTGTTACATTGAGCTAAGAGAATGCTCAAACTTATGCCCACTACACTCCTAGGCTATTCTATAGTAGTAATGTTATGAGATGAAAGGTGTAAGCAGAAAACAGGAGAGAATAGATTCAGGTGGCAAGTACTTACACCTCTTTCCATATATATACTTACTATATATGTATACACACACACACATATACATACATACTTTATTTCTCTTTGTATCTACATATATCTATAGATATTGTCATTGAAATTTTTATCCATTTAGAGAGAAATAGAATAGAAAAACTGACAATAAAAATCTAAGTGACAATATGTTTGTTCTCAGAATCACATAGAAAAGTTGCTTAATCCATATATGTGCTTAGGACAATCTAGTTTCATCTTAGCAGTAGGCAAGTGAGAACATTTTTTTGTAAGGTCAAAGGAAAAAAACAAAAACAACTTGCCAGAATGGGGAAAATTCTGCAACTAGATCCCTTACCTTATGCTATGTAATAGCCATGCAATCTATACAATGATACAACCAGGACAGATGTGAGGCAAACCACTAACTACTGTCTGGCAAAAAAAGTTAAATCATGGTCAGGTGCGGTGGCTCACGCCCATAATCCCAGCACTTTGGGAGGCTGAGGCAGGCAGATCATGAGGTCAGGAGTTTGAGACCAGCCTGACCAACATGGTGAAACCCCATCTCTACTAAAAATACACAAATTAGCTGGGCGTGGTGGCATGCGCTTGTAATCCCAGCTACTCAGGAGGCTGAGGCAGGATAATGGCGTGAACATGTGAGGCGGAGCTTGCAGTGAGCCGAGATTGCGCCACTGCACTCCTGCCTGGGCCACAGAGCGAGACTCTGCCTCAAAAAAAAAAAAAAAAAAAAAAGTTAAATCATGATCAGATTTTCCAAGGCTCCCTTCCCAAGTTACTTTCTTGCATTTCCCATTTTAGTGAACCACTTCCAAATTCAATTTATTTCTTTTTTTTTTTTTTTTTTTTTTTCTGAGACAGAGTCTCACTTAGTCGCCCAGGCTGGAGTGCAGTGGCGCGATCTCGGCTCACTGCAAGCTCCGCCTCCCGGGTTCACGCCATTGTCCTGCCTCAGCCTCCTGAGTAGCTGGGACTACAGGCGCCCGCCGCCTCGCCCGGCTAATATTTTGCATTTTTAGTAGAGACGGGGTTTCACCGTGTTAGCCAGGATGGTCTCGATCTCCTGACCTCGTGATCCGCCCGCCTCGGCCTCCCAAAGTGCTGGGATTACAGGCGTGAGCCACCGCGCCCGGCCAATTCAATGTATTTCTAATTGGCTTACAATTCTCTTTCCCAACTGTGTTAATATTTCACTATTCCTACATGTATTTCCCACAACCCCAGTGAACACTGGTATTGTAACATCATGAAAGAAAGACGTTCCCTCTGCATATACCATCACTAGGGACACACACTTCTTTTCAAAAGAAAGACACATCTGTATTATTTAAATAACATTACAGTGAAAACTCGAACTTTAAAAATGTATTTCCAAAGTAGTTCCATTACTTACAATATAGGGAAATTATTTCTCTGAGGAAGAATGTGAGTTTAAAAGAAAACATCTTTTAGAAACATATGTGGATTGCTTTTGTCAGCTAAACTCATAATTTGCTGGGAAGTGACAGGCCATGAATACTTCATTCTCCTTTTCCTGGTGATTTTGTAAATGACTGCCTTATTTATTAATGGAAAGCAAATATGCAAAATGCAAGTATCATCTTAAAGTAACCGCAAGTTTAAATCTGGTTTCTTTTTTCTTTTTCCAAGGCCCAGCACCAGGTTTAAGCAGGTTAGCATACCTCAGATAACCCTGAACAGTAAGATTCCCTCTCTCAGAGTGTGAAGCTGTAGGGCTGCCATTAGCAGTTGCTAATTCCAGGTTTCAAGTTCTCTTTTATGAAGAATCTGATTTAGTGACACAGAGGGCATTTTTAAAGAGGCTCCCCAGAGAATTCTGATACCTAGCAAGGTGTATTAGAACAAGTGATCTACACTGTTCTTAAAACGATAGCTTTCTCCCCTAAATTATAAAGAACATTAAACATTAAGATGAGCATAGAAAAAACAGCTGAAATTCTAAAGTTTGAAGACAATATCGTACACGTACATTTATTAATGAATGTTGATTAAAAAGATGATTTTGAAGGAAAAATGCTGCTGAGAAAGCACACACAACTTCTGTAGAGCTGCCATACAGACAGTTAATCAGAAGTTAGGAAAACAAACCAAGCTAAACAACGTATTTCTTGACTTACTTCTAACTGCAATACCCACCTCTGCATAAGGGATTAGTAAAATTACAGTACAGATCAAGTTCCCCAAATCACATTTAAAAGAAATGATCAATACTAAATATTAGCAGGTAAAACATCATATTTTTGTGGCTTTCGAACTTTCACACACAGAGCTCCAAAAGAGGAAAAAAGCCAAGAAAATCAACACAATTCCTCATCAGAAGACTGCCCATATTTTCTAATATGTACAAATCAAAGAGTATCTCATGTTCTTAATATCATCCTCCTTCCTCAAGTTTTTAGGGAATATTAAGTAAAACCAATAATCAGTGATAAGAGATGCATCACTGTGACATACTGAAATTCAATCAGGACTCATCATGCTGAGACCCTGCTGTTTTTTAGTTTGGGTCTGAAAAACTTGTATACTCTAATTATTTTAAGCATCCAAATATGATGATTCCTTTTGGGTTTAATATATCACTGTGGAGATAAATCTCAAAGTGGCAATTTTTTGCGACACTGATCAGAAATCCAAATGTCACTTAAAACTTAAATATATACAAAACACAGCCATATACATATCCATCTTCAGAAAATACAAAAAAGGTTAAATAAAAATAGATAACATTTCAGATACAGAAAGTGCCACATCAACAGAAATTTATTTTTGTGTTTATTTTACAAAAAGACTTTAGAACACATGAGGAACACTAGATGATGATAGTGAGCAGCCTTTTCAGCCTTTGTTTCTTTCTTCTTTAAATACAGATGCTGACAGAAAAGATGGACTAGATGCAGTCCACTTTTTCCTCAGTTGGCTGATTTTTTTCAGAATTATAAACCATGAAACTAAACTGAGTAAATGTTGAAAGTTTATTACAAGCAGCACCTGGGGCCAAAAATGAGAAAGACGTTTGGTTAACTATAGGCTGTACATATTTATAACCAATACAGATATTGCTTATTTGACTAGACACTGGCTACTGTATACCTTATGTCTAAGTCACAGGAAGTACACTAGTGTCTCCTCCTCAGAACTAAGCAGTGAACAGTCCATGAAAGGAACGAGGTAGCTGGTAAAATATCTCTTTGAACTTCAGAAAACTGGCTGATTTTTGTTGTTGCTGTGGATCTACACAAACGCCGTCATTGCTACTATTATTTAACTGTTCTTACATGTCGTTCTTAGGAAAAATTATTCAGGCACATTCCCCACATTTTATTTCTCTAGCCACTAGAACATTCTCATCATTCATTCATAACTCCATACCCCACCACTGCTCCCTATTCTCCTACTCTCACAGGAAGAGTCAAGAGTAATTTGTCATGATGCTTTGTCTAATCAAGTTCATCTTCTCATGCTCAAACACCTGGGGGAGGGTCCTCTTCGGTCATTAAATAGAAGAATCTAGTCAACTGTAAATTCATCCACAATTATATAATTATCATTTTTTTCATTCTGTTAAATCCAACTTTGAGTTTTCTAATAAGGTTTATTTCTTAAGAGGGAATCAATAAAACTGCCTTATTTGATACATAAAGCTTTTCCCCTTCATAATTTTTATTGACTTTTGTGTCTTAGTGCTTAAAAAAGAATAAAGCATTCTTCAAACAAGTTTTTCAAATAGAGAACTGTGGGAAGTAAAAGATCAAAGAACAATAATAAGCAGTCCAACCTAATAAGTCATATTGATCAGTAAGCTGTGTATCTTCCCCATCTGAAAATTCACTAATGAGAATCAGCAGTGGCTGATCTTAAAATGCTTTGAAACTGTGATAGGCTCACACGGAAAGTAAATGAAGCGAAAGACAAGCCTCAAACAGTGCAAAAATAATTCTGCTAACCTCTTTGGTTTACTAATTAGTAATACATTTTGTTCTTTGGAGCCCCGAGAAGATCTAAATGGCTGAGGCATTTAAATAATGAATAGAAAAGAAATAGGGAAGATAATTTATCCTTGTCTATTTTTAATTAGTATAAACATTTGACTAGATTAGCCTATGTCAACATGTACTGGAGCTGAAGCTAAACTTCATTTAAGACACATGTGAAAGATAAGAACTACTAGTCAGAGACTGGGTCATAGCTATCAGCAGTCAATCAAAAGAGGCTTTTAGGTATATTTTTAACGCTGTGGGTCTTGACAGATCATCAATTAACATTTACTCAATGCCCACCTTAAGGAATCTCTTTTTCTGTTGAATATAGTGTATTGTACACAACAATATTTAAAAAGTGTATGTTTGATAAATATTTGGAAGTTCACACAAATAAAAAATCCAAACACAACTTACCATAACTTCCAGTCACATTGGCACATATAACAGCCCCAAAGAATTCTGGAAAATACTTCTGGATTCTTGAAATCACTTTTTGGCAAGCTATGGTTGGATCTTCTCCTCCTCTCATGTATTCTACAGCTTGGTAGCTGATTGAAACAAAGGTGAAACCTCAGTGTCACAGAATAAATACTAACTCCAAATTGGGTTAAAGTTAGGAATTAAAACCACCAAAATTGCCACGTGACGGAATACACATAAATGAACAGGAGTCGGTTACTTCTGTTAAAGCATCCACAAAGCAAGTCAACTCTGATACAGTGTCTATCTTTTCAACTCATCCACCCATGAATTTCAGATATAGAATACTATTTTTGACTTTGGCTGAATAACTGTCAGTAGTAATGGCCAGAAGTCAAAAAGAATACAGATTTTCAATGAGAAAAACAGCTACAATCAAAGGGGAAAGTAGTGTGCATGGGCACACCGTCTAGCTAGGGTGGTGAGCTGTACACGATGACTGTGCTTCCTACTTTTACCATCAACTATCACAGCCCTGTTACTCAGTAGCTTCACATCAATTATCTAAATAGATTGTAAGTGTTCTCATCTGGGAAGCAGGGTGAGAAATACTACTTTATTTCACAGGACTATGATTACTTAACTTGAATGATTGTCATTATCAAAATGATGGGCAACAAGCTTGTATGCAGTTTCAAAGCAGCTCTTATGCACAGAAATTCAGGTTACACAACACAAAAATTATGTTTTCTTTTTTTTTTTTTTTCTTGAGACAGGGTCTTACTCTTATTGCCCAGGCTGGAGTGCAGTGGCACGATCTTGGTTCACTGCAACCTCCATCTCCCAGGTTCAAGCGATTCTCCTACCTCGGCCTCCCGAGTAGCTGGGACTACAGACTTGTACCACCATGCCTAGCTAAATTTTTTGTATTTTTAGTAGAAAGAGTCAGGAGTTTGAGACCATGCTGGCCAGGCTGGTCTCGAACTCCTGAACTCAGGTGATCCACCTGCCTCAATCTCCCAGGTGCTGGGATTACAGGTGTGAGCCACTGCACCCAGCCTCAAAAATTATTTTCTATCTTAAAAGAAAAAAATATCTTCTCCAAAGGTCTCTAAAATTCACAAACTAAGAAGTGATACCTTGGTAGGAAGCGCATCAATATATCGCCATCCCCAGTGGCGGCGGCTGCCCCTGCAGTATCGTCAGCATAGGCTCCAGCTCCAGGTACTGGTGAGTCTCCTACACGGCTTTGAGAGGGTATCAACAACTTAGGGGAGGAAATCGAGTGTAAAACACATTAAGTCACAAGCTGTTCCAAATAAGGGATATTTCCACTTAGCCTCTGATACCGTTTTAAGTAAATTCTTCATCAGAACAAAGAACAGGTTTTCACTAGTTTTTGAACTAAGGTTTTCACAAACCTACATTAATTATGTAAGAATTTGTTATCAGATGTGGAGTGTAAAACAGCTGAACTCATAGAAACAGC